AGAAGTCACATATGCTGTTTTCTGGTTTTCTGTATCAGTACAGAGGGTTGAAAAAAGTGAAAGCATATGGTTTTTAACTAACATGAAGTTTTCAAATGAGATTTGGCATGAGGCGTAGTGAGGTAGGTCTGGTTATGACAGTATTCTTAGGGCCGATGTTTCTATTTCTGGACTTACCAGACAGATTCACGAAATGGTTTTTGTCTCTATGTCTACAACAGTTGGCAGGTGGCTCAGTATTTTCATAGGGAAAAGATCGGGAAATATTGTTACACAGTTCTTATGCTTGTCAGAAAACAGCCAGGATGTTTCTGTCTGTGTGAAACCAGAGTATAGCAAAGTTTTTAAAACCCTTACCTACATGAATATAAAAAAAATTGACTTGCATCTTTCAAGCTGGACAAAAAATTTATTATTATTTTTAGGGGAAATTTCAATGTACATGTATGTTTTGACTGATGAGTAGTGAACAGTGCAGACCATTATCAGACGATACAGATTTTGCCTTTTGCAGGCAGGTCTTGGTCTGAAAAAGTTGCGTGGGTAGATTCAGCCACTGCCATCTGGCTAAGAGTTAAAGCTTTGAACTGTGTTTTTATTACATTGTAAAATTCAGTGTCAAAATGCTAAACATTGGAGTATCGAATGTGCATGGTCAGAATTAATGCATAGTATTAAAAGCACAAACTAGTCCATTGGTATGAAATGGAAGGAATATAAAATTTAGATACATTGAATTGTGTTCTTATATTTACATTATACATGTATATGTAGTCCTATTGTTTGATTAGAGTTAAGTTAAAATTATCATGAAGGGTTTTAACCATGAAGGGTGTCATGCCCCCCCCAAAAATACACAGCCACATAAGACCAATGGTAAAGCCTCAAGCAACACAACAAATACAAGTAAAGTCATTGCATTTTATACTTACACTGAATTATTCAATTGTAACATTATACCTCTGTACAAAATGCTCCAAAAAGGCAAAAGAAACGAAAAAATGAGAAAGACCTTTGTGGACTATAATTATAATGAGAGGAAATTGGTTTGACAAGTGGTGGAAACATGTCAAAGTTGTACAGAGAATGTGGACATGACTGACGTCAATTCAGGCTTCATTGATCAAGGATAATATATAATTAACATATAGTCGTGGATTACTTACAAACTAATCCACTATTTTAAGACTGGTCTTTAATAAAGTTGAAACTTTAATCTCTTTTTGAGCTATATATATATATATATATAGATATATATATCATTCTCTAAAAATCTTGATTTGAGACTATGAATAAGATTTTTTGTGTCTTAAACTATTTCTACAGCGTCAGTACTGACTGATGTCCAACTACCATTTAACTGGGATATCCCCAACCGGGATCGTGGCAGTTCTTCTGCCCCTTTTTCCCTTGTGTTTATGAACTATAATTTTTTTGTTACTTCTTTACTAGGCTAAATGACGGTCCATTCACCCTTTCAGGCATGAGAAGTATTATTACACAATAAAGTAAAGACCCTGAATTATAGAGCTGTCATCGATTCAGTGCAAAGCATATCAACGATATATCTATATCAGATGACTAAAATCAACGATACACCGATATATCGATAATAACCTATAATTACTTAGCTGTCATTCACTTTCATACCTGTTTAAATTATTTCAGTTAAAAACATTTTCTGTACAGTGTATTGTCCACTGCATTTTTTTTCCATTTTTATCACCATTGCTATGAAATATTTCCACTATATAACAAAAGCATAACATTAGACATAAATAACTGTTCCATATATGTTTTGGGTGATTTTTTTTATAATTTCTAGACATTTAATTAATTAGTCAAAAGTATCGATTTTTTGAAATGTTTATCGATTATTGATCGGCAAAAAAATATCAACGATACATCGATATTGTCTCTATCGATGACAGCTCTACTGAATTAACAAAGAGCTACTAGGATTTGTCAAAGAAATGAATTTTGAGCATTAAAGTTAAAGTTCTGGTCACTGTACAGCAAAAAAATGAGATATTAGAATTTACAGAAACTTATGACAATATGAAATAATAGGTTAATTAGTCCTGATATTAAACGCCTAACGAAGGGCACCACCTTTCGCGCCTTCAAACTTGCCTTGAGGTTATCAAATTTTTTTCTGAGTCTTGTCTCAAATCTCAAGTTTTTCATTGTTCAGTGTACTTTTTTGAAGTTTCTGACCAATCAAATATCTCAGATCTGAGTTTGTACTTGGAGAATTTCTTTATAACCTCAGACCCAGTACTGGGAGGTCACAAAAAACCAGTATCTAACTTCATAATCTCAGCCGCTTCGTAACAAGGAGTAAGACCAGACGATTTTATACCAAGTTTGCTATATTCATATATCCCTTAAAAAACTTATAATGGACTGTTCCAAAGTAAAAAAAGGCCAAGTCCATCACACAAATTCATAGTTCAAATAAAAAGACAAGACCAAAATATACAAAAACCTTTTTAAACTCTTTCCATTTAACTTTGAAGTACACTAACATTAAATGTAAAATTTGTATGCTTGGTAGCCTATTTTAGAAAAGATTGCTTTACATGTAAATGATATATTCATATATTCTATGTAGCTATTTATAACTTTCAGCAGTACATTATTTAAAATGTTTGACAGGGTTTAAGAAAGAAATTATTAAAGCTTGAACTCCAAATAACCGCAAAATATATCAGCTGATTTTATTGATGATGTAAAGGCAATAAAAGCATTTTTTCTCCATTTGTTTGATGATGGGTGAAAGACTTGGGCTATTAACCCCAGAAGGTAAAAAAAACATAACAAAAAACAGACTTTGAAAATCCATTATATTGTGATACAATCAATTTTACATAATCAGCGATTGGGACATTGAAAGTCAGCATTGAAAGTTTGAATGTTTTTAAGTTTTTTAGCTTGACCTATATTCGAAGGGTTATTGATGTAAATTGTGTCAGCTTATCACTTAAATGAATATGTTTCTTTAAGCAAATTTATGTAAGTCTTATATAAACCATTGCCATGAGGGTCATAGTTGCAGTCCAGAGACTTGTAAAACCCATAAATTCAGTGTTGCCCATATATAAATGAATACATAAAATTATACAAGATTTTTACAAAAATGAGCACCTCTGAGAACAGTTGTATATGGCACTGTTGACTGCTCCATGACATTGGTCAGACAACTCCTGTTTAACAATCAAGGACTGCTCTGATTCTGTCAACCAACAATTAAAATTCTGCTGAAACTGCATAAATTTACAAGACCTACTAGCCTGTCATTCTTGCTGCCTTACACTCTTATCAAGAAACAGATGTTTTTTCTTCCCACAAAAATGATTGTGAAAATAAAAGATGCAAAAACTGTTGAAAACTTTATCTGTCTTCAAATTAAATGCTGTAAAAAGTGGCTCTTTGAAACATAATTGTATATGGACAGGTCAGGAAATAGGACAATCTGACACATACTTGGTCAATAGCTTGCCTGTCTGTTTGCTTTAATAAAGTACATACATAATGGTTGCTGTTCAAATATTGGTAGAATATAATCTTTTCAAGTCTAGTTATTAATAAATGGACATAGGGTTATTTTTTCTGTATTACATTATCATAATGTAATAATTAATAAGAGAGGCAATACAAAGTATTGTCCAACAGATCACCTTGGATTAGTTACAAGACATAATTTTATGAACAATGGTTTAAGAAAAGACACCTCTAATTTTTTTACAGTGCAGTATCTAAGTACATTGTACATTGTAATTGAATAGTATGTCTATGATATTAGTCATGTAGTCATAGGTTTCTTTATTTACATCAAAAGATATGATTATGCCTTATACTATGTATAAGATTAAGCTAAAGGACTTTTTATACTTACCATAATGGAAATGTGATAGAAGCCAAAATGAAATATAAGAACTAATTTTGATATTTTGTATAATAATACTTAACAATGATAACATATGTTATAAATTCTTCTCTCTTGTAATTTATAATTTCTACTAGTTCCATAATTTCACATATTTGCATAAAATAAACAATAACTGTTTTCCGTTTCATTTCATCATTTATTTATTTGAAAATGTCCTAAATTTCTAATCTACAATTAATATTTAAAGTTACAGAGTTTTTCTTCCTCACACATGGTTGATAAGTCACTGAGAATTTTATTTCTAACTCTTAAGATCTCATTCTTGAAACTTCAATCTCGAATCCTGAATCTTGACTCTAGCTCTTACAATCTTACTCTTGCATTTTGAATCTTGTTCTTCAATCTTCAATCTAGACTGCCCCTAGAAAATCTTGTCCCAGTATTTATATGAAATACCTTGACTCTCCATATTTGGAGGTTACCTTAGTGTTAATTGACAAATTTAAGCCTTCTATAATTATGACGACAAGTGTTGATCAAGTAACTGTACCAGAAACAAACAGACTGATTCCTGGAATATTTATGATGATAACCAATGATTGAGTTCCCTAAACACAACAATTGCAGGCCTCCTTTTCATAATTTATGCAGGTACCCCGTTGACAGAGTTACCAAAATAAAATCTCCCAGACTGATACACAGTCTAGCCCCAACAGATTTATAGTAATAAACAATGACAACAAATGAGGTCTCAATTCTCATACAAACTCAATCATTAAATCAAACCTTAACCAGGTCACCTTGCTAAAACTACAACACATAATTATACTATGGGTTATGATGCTAACTAAAATGTTCCAAAAAAGAGATATTAATAACATAGTAGGTTTTTTGTCCAAATCATCCATGAAACCATCCTTCTGTTGTTCATGTAATATACCTTTATATGGAGCTTGTCTTCAATGCAGTAATTGTATAATGGTCTTTATATAGAGGTGATTGTCAAAGACAGAACTGTATATGTAAATACATATCAATATTATGCATATGTAATTAAATGTATATACTTGAATAAGGACATTTAAATTGTGTAAATTTTTCATTTCAGGAACTTGGAATTAGAGATGAGTTTCACCAGAAAGCAATATTGGTGTGTGTTGATGAATTGTGTGGACGAAATCCTGACGAGGTAGATAAGTTTATAGCTTAATCTTAAATAAAGATCAGTTTACATATGTTACTTTAATTGTGATTAGAAATGGGTCACATATTGGAAAGTAAGTAATTACCGCCTGTGGTACATCTGACATACAGTTTAAATTATAAAGCACATGGTATGAGATAATGTAGATTTATATAGAAATTTTATAGATAACATGGTGTCATTATACACGGCCTGATTTAGTGTTATTAACCCATTACCAGATATACATGCCTTTTTTGCCCCTAATCGCCAAAAAATTTTTGGACTTGTGAGAAGCTAAAAATGACCCCAGGTCGATCATAACATACATGTGACAAATGAAATGGGCCAAATCTGGATTTTCAGCTGGATTTTGAGGCTCAAAACTGGATTTTTTTATCGACTTGAATTTCTAAGCGTGTTTGGCACATTTGGTTCAAAGAATCTTTATTACACTCAAAATCATTAAATGGTTATACTTTTTATGATTTTTTGCGGATCAATATTAATTTATTTCACCAAAAAATAAATGAATAGATAAATAAATAAGTGTAGTCATACAGGCTATTTCAAAACAGTCACATTTTCACATTTCATTATTTTCAGTTTGAAGAATTATATCTGTCTTTTCAGTCATTCAATAATTGTCTACAAGCTATTTGAAAACGTGCAACAACTATTCATGAACATAAGACTCTGACAGTTAAATAACGTAACATAGTTAATTAAATCCACATTTTTGCCTCGATGATAGTGTAATTCCTAAACAAAACAAAAAAATTACCCACTCACTAAAAATAGGTTAATTAGACATCTCGAACAGGTTTTTGAATGATCCACTTTAAATGATTCTGCTCACCTTTTATCTTTATCAGCGCGGCACTAATCAAAGAAAATCAAAGGTTGAGCCGAATTCATACATGTAAATTTACAGGGTAGTTTTGATGACATAGCGTGTAATACCTACTGCCAAATTACAAAAGAGGTCAATTGATTGACACACGACACACACGTGATAAGTTAAACATGTGAGAATAACTTTGGGTATAGGATTGTTTATTACGTCACCTTGCTGTCAATTAGTGACTCAACATTTAATCCGCTATAATTTAGGATATGGACAGATAACAATCAATGCCCGGAGGCACGGTTTACATTTTAGATACAGGTGCTGTGTTTGATTTTTGTTTTTTTTTTTGTTGTTTTTTTTTTTAAATATCGGGAATTCAAGCTGAAATATCGGGAATCGGGATCAGTGTTGAAATATCGGGATTTTTTAAAATCCCGCCGGGATGTCACATGTATGTCATAAGGTAATGTGTAACCAATGCCTCTATCTCAATCTGTTGAGAAGTTGCAGCACTTTGAAATCAATTTTGATGGAAAATATCAACGCAAAATAGTGTTTTTTGGCAATTTTGAGATGTCCCCTTGTTGCCCTGGTAACAGGAAATTTAAGACTGAACATGTTGTTACAAAGGCAATGATCCAGTCAACATTTGTGCCAAGTTTGATTTTTCATAGTTTTATAGCAATTTGAACTTGTAACCAGAGACTTTTCAATGAAAACAGACATTTTTCACAAAATGCTCATGCAGTAATGGGTTAACAGTAACATATTTACCTTTGGTTAAAAGTGGGTTGAAAGATAAAAGTGTATGTATGAAATCTGTGTTCAGATTTTTTTATGCCTCTTTAAAAAACTGGGAAAGCTCTAAGAGAGCGGGTAGGATGGCAGTGTCCAATTTTGTCTGAAGAGTTTCTTCGAATTGAGAAATTACCTAATACAAATGTTCAACCCCTTAGAATGTATTGTCATATCCATGAAGCAGGTCAAAGTTCAAGGTCATACTTAGAAGTAAATGCTTGTTAAAGCATAATCCTGGTCATAAGCAAGATCATGGTTACAATGAAATGTTCAGATTTGTTAGAAGCATAAATTACATTCTACAAGCATGGATTTTAGTATAACTTGAGGGCCTACTTGATTCGAATTTTCAAACAAAAAAAGGATGTGTCCTGGGCGTTAAAGGTCAAGATCACACCTTGAGGTCAGAGAAAATGATTGCCTGGAGCAAAACTTCTGAGGTATTATAATTTATCATGAAACAAGTTTTTAACTATAGCAAGACCAAGTGTCACATGAAAAATTAAAGACCCTGTGGCTAAGGTCAAGGTCAAATTTAGATAAAAATTATGAAAAGAGTTTTAACAATTAAGTTGTTTTTATGTACAAAATTATGAAACTGAGTGTCACAAACATAATCCAGGTAAATATATGCAAGGTCAAGATCATCAGAGATGATGAAATGTCCACATTTTGTCGGTAGGATATCTTCACCACCACAAGACTATGTGTTGCATAAATGAACCATGTCTCTAGGTCAAAGGTCAAGGTCACACTTAGAAGTCAGAGGTAAACACTTGTTCATAGTGGAATAATGCATTGAGGGATTGGTATATACATGTTTACTTTGGAACAAATGTTCAACTTTGTGAGACATTGTGTTGATCGCAAAATTCAGGTCCTTTTGCCAATGTCAGGGTCACATGCAGAAGTGCCAGGTCAGATGTTAGGTAGAAAAATGAAAAAAAACAATAGTATTGACCATTATAGTGATCACAAAAGAGATTTCAATATAAATGTCCACTATCTTCAGACTGAACATTTGGATGCGCCTATTTTATTACTATGGTCTTGTTAGTGATACAAATGAAGCCAAATAACTTACTTTATTGATACAAAAGAAGCCAAATAACTTACTTAATTGTTACAAATGAAGCCAAAGAACTTACTTTTTGGTACAATTAAGCCAAAGAAATTAATTTTACCCAATCTATGTTTGCAAATATAAATTTTCGCGTTATGTCACAATTCAGCATATTCGTTAATATAATTTTCACATTTTCGATTCCCCGAATAAAAAAACTTGTATATTGGCGATTCCGGGGGTCATCAGAATTTATATAGTATATTGTTAAGTGAAATGGTGAACACAAATTATCATCGAAATCAAATATCGACTGTGTATCCTAAAAATTGAAGAAAGAAAAAAAAAAACAATATGATCTCACTGTCTACTGTAATTAACACTCAAGTTAAAATGACATTAACTGTGTTAGTAAGTTACGTCTTGTATATCACTGTTTGTTACACCTAAGACGATATTTATTTATGATTCTAAACAGTTTTCATTTACAGTTATTCTATTGATATGTAAAGACACTTAGATGCAGGATTCGTATAGTATAGTATACACATTTGACTACAATGTGCATGTATATTTATATTTCAATACACATTATGTTATTGTGTTTGATATTTTTAAAAAATCTATTTATTTATTTTCAATGCTTAATGACAACAGTATTATAATTATTGTGTTTTAACTAATACCCATAAAATTTGAATATTCGGACATGTAGATAGCACCAACAACTTCCGGACAAGATAATTATTTTATGAAGACATTTTTCCACCAATTAATTTGCAAAATCCGCCGGTCGTATTTGCTGATCAAACTTATTTTCGCGCTTCGTTGCCATCTGCAAATATAAACTGGTAGCAAATTTTCGTTTGGTTACGGTGCTTTCAATACAAATGAAAGCCAAAGAAATTTACTTTTTGGTATGAATGAATCAAGGGAATAAATACTTTTTGATGGAATTTATTTTTTGGTATAAGCAAAGCCAATGGCTTCGGTCAATGTAGCTGTATGTATACTTTTTTGGCAATTTGTTGTGCTGAATGCTTAGCTGTAAGAGCCAGAGTAATTAGGTCACTTATAAGGGCAAAATTATTACTAGTACCACCTACATTGTGGAATTCAAGTAACTAAGTCATCAATGAAGTCAATGAATTCGCTTCTTAAATTTGTTTGTTAATAATAAAAGATGGAAGCCAAGAAACTCAATTCATAAAAGATTCTTCTGAACTTCTGACCTCCTCAAGCTTAACTTCTCTGCTTTACCTTCTTTTTACTGGCAACCATATACAATTATTCATAGTTATGATGTGAAATATTGCATATTTTATTACAGTGTCTGTGTATTGTGTTTAATTGCCCATTAGTTTCTTAGAAATTAATAATAGTGTTTTGTGTTAGCAAAAAGAGATCAATTCACTGTTTTGGTCATTTGGTATAGAAAGCTGTTAGGTTTGAAACAAATAGAGATAATCCGGAACTTGGCAAATTTCAGTCTTTCCCATCCAACCCTGGGATTCAAACTTTTATACAGTTACATCTTGGTAAATATATCAATAATAAGCCCTACTCATTGATCACTCTATTGAGACCTATAGTGGCCATCATGTAGCTATAATGGTAAAAATCTGTATGTAACCCTGGGATTAGATGGGGGGAAACCATTTGTGGGTTCCTGAATAACATTTGTTATTTTCCATGATATATGTCATTTTAATCCTATTTTTTACTTGTCCTCAAATTAAATTTGGGAGAATCTTCTTTCCTTAAAATATATATGACATACAAATATAAGGATTACAAAATATTTGTAGTTATTTTATGCATGAAAAATCAAGCTATTGTCAGATCATAAATGGATAGAAATTTGACCCAGTTTTGGTTAAACCACAAAAACCAGCAAAATTTTTCATCAGATAAAAAGTGGACTGGAGATTGGTTATCAGCAGTTTATAGTCTGAGGTCAGAGGGGGGTTCTCCTATTATAACATTCCTGTGCTAAAATTTTATTTCAGGAAGAAAATGATGAAAAGATGGTTTAAGTTTGAATGAATTATGAAAGTTCAGCATTACTAAAAATTATGGTGTATCTTTTAGACCATTGCCTCATATAATTAGTCATATCAAAATCTTGGAACAACAGTTCTATGATTGTAAAATGTGAAATTCATAAAAGGTTAAGAGATCAAAACTGTAATTTTTATAACCAGATGAAAACCAGGCCAAAGTTTGACATTTAGTCGTTTCTTAATCTTGAGTTTTTTTTACCTTTTTAAGAATTAATATGTACTTCAAGTTCTT